GACATCAAATACCGTAAGTAGTCGTCGCAGACGTAATATCTCATCAGCCACAGGAAGAGCGTGTCGAAGAAAAGGGAACAACCGACTGTAAATGGATAAAGACTATACACTGGAAGAAGAAGGATTAGACAGGCACATAGCCGTAAAAAATATATGAGGAAGACGTAAGAACTTTCTGTCACGGCGCCACTACGTTAGAGAGTCCCGAAATATGTTCACGGCAATCCCATCGTTGGTCGCATGGGCCTCAGGAAAACTATCTCGAAAGCCACTACGTGCCAACCGAAGAACCAGAGAAGAAGAAGAATAAGTAGAAGAAAACGGAAGAAGAAACCGAATAATCAGAAAAGAAGAAGAAGAAAACAGAAGAAAAACCGAAGAAACAGAGAGGAAGAAGCCGAAAAACAGAAGAAGAAGAAAAAGAAAGGACGACAACTGAAGTCCAATAATAATAATAATAATAACCAATGATAATAATTATTGATTTTTCAGTTCATTTTTCTGTTTTTTGGAAATAGTGAAAAACTACATCAATGGCTTTTGACCACAGAAGTTATAGATGCTATTTCGGAACCCATCACGATTTCTCATCAGACCTTTTTTTTCCAGACACCTCTGTTCGAATTGAATTCGAACATCGGATGTCTACCGCTCGGTTTTCCCATTAGGCTATATGTGCGCCGCTAAGTAGTAACACCCTTCGCGTCACGATGACAATGAAAATCTTCGATGACCGGGTTACATATACCCGATGTGATAACCACCACGTGTTCTTACGGGAAGGAAAGGTGGGGTTTGAAGACCCCAAGCCAATTGCCTTAGAGCCTCCACAGCAACAGCAACCACAAAAACAAGAAGAAAAAGAAGAAAATTGAAATTCAAATAGATATAAATTTGCGGCCGCGGTAGCCGAGTGGTTAGCATTGCTTACTGACATTCGGAAGGCTATAGAAAATTAATTTAAATAATAAATTAAGATATATTTTCTTATTGCGGGCGCCTCTCAGCAGGGAATGTCCACCCCTCTGAGTGTATTTCGGACATGAAATAAAAGCTCCTCGTAAAAAAATAATCAGCCGTTCTGAGGCGGCTTAGTATAAACTGTAGGTCCCTCTGATTGTTGGTAAAACATCAAGACGCAAAACCACAAATTGGAGGAGGCGCTAGGCCGAAAATCGCCTCAGCGGTTACAAAGCGGTGATATATATATACAAACACATATACATATACATGAAATACATCGACATACATATTTAGAAGTATCTAAATATAAGTATCTACATTTCTACATAAATAAATATAAATATAAATATACACTTATACATACACGTATATTATATTAGTACGAGGACGAAATTTGAATACTAAACTTTTAAGTTAGGAAATCACCAAGCATTACCATAGCAAGCCGTCGCTGTTAAGTAGGGCAAAAGAGAATAAGCGATAGGCTTACCAACAAACACAACACGTAAATGTCCGACTACAAGCAGGATTGGGTACAAAAAGTGCATTATCAGCAGTGATAGAGCACTTCTGATTGTGCTGTCGTAGCTGGTGTGTATGTTGTGTCTTGCAAACGCTACCAATAGGAGTATGGGCTTGACGTGAATACGCTGCCAAAAGAAATATATGGTGTGACGTGAAAACACTGTCAATAGAAGTACAACCACTCGTGTTGTCTTTTAGAATCATCATTATAGGAGAGACCGGGATCGTTACAAAGTGGACCAGGGACTGACTTATTCAAAAAAAGTTTGTTTATGGTTCGGCTTACTTTAAATTCCGTACATAGGTGGCCATTTAATTAGATTAACAGGCATTCTACTCTTATCTCCGGAAAGTAGACCTAAGACTTACTTATACAAAAATTCGGACTATTCCTCTCTCCGGGATGTGGACCAATGTCAATAGTAAATCAAATAGTAAACCAAAAATTTTGTGTTCCACTAAGTATTGAGTAAATAAACTCACGATAAAAATAAGTCCCATTATTAATTTTTCATACATTCAAGGAGTGTATGCTACAGCAAAGCGTTGCAGGGTACAGCTAGTACAATAAATTGAATGAGTGCATAAGTTCGTGCCCGATTCCGCTGGATGCCGTTCGAATCGTTTGAGAGTGGCGCTCGTGCAAGAAATATATACATATTATATATCATTGTAAAGGTGACAGTCTGAACTACAAATTAAGCATAAAATAACTTCATTTTGATTTGAGTTGCTTAGTGAAAAGACGCATGGAAGATGGACAACGAAAAAGATCATATGCGTCATATAATGTTATACGAATTCCGCAAAGGAAAAACAGTAGACGCTGCAACTAAAGATATTCGCGAAGTTTATTTGGATCGTGCTCCAGCACTCCGCACATTAAAGAAATGGTTCGCGAAATTTTGTTCTGGAGATTTTAACCTCGAAGATCAACCTCGCAGTGGACGGCCTTCTGAGCTTGATGACGATGTTCTAAGGACTTTAGTTGCGAATTACTCACGTATTTCGACGGAAGAGGTTGCCAGTGAATTGAACGTCAACAAATCAACTGCGTTTCGTCGTTTAAAAAAGGTTGGGTACACTTTGAAAAAAACAAAGTGGACCGCATGTCAACAGCAATTTCTTTGCTTCGACGGATCAAAAACGAACCTTTTTTGGATCGGCTCATGACTGGTGATGTGCAACAATGTTCAACGCAAAAGAACATGGAAACAAGCACACGAAGGGGCGGAACCGATGTCGAAAGGTGGATTGCATCCGATGAAGGTACTGCTGTGCATTTGGTGGGATATCCGAGACGTGATCTATTTTGGGCTTTTGCCAGCTGTAGAAACGATCACTGCCAACAAGTCAACAATTGGTCGAATTGAAGAAAGCAATTGATGAAAAATGTCCGATTTTGGCCATTCGCAAAGGAGTTCTTTTCCATCATGACAACGCCAGGCCACATGTTGCAAAACCGACCCTGGCCAAACTGAAGGAGATGAATTGGGAAATCATGCCACATCCCCCATATTCACCCGACATTGCACCTTCTGATTATCATTTGTTTCGATCGCTGCAGAACAATTTGAATGGAAAAAAATTTAAAAATGTGGAAGACGTCAAAAACCACCTTGACACCTTTTTCAACGAGAAACCGCGCGATTTCTATGAATCAGGCATCCATAAATTGGTTGAACGTCGGGAGTGGATTGCCGATGATGACGATTGCAAATACATAATTGATTAATAAAAGCGCTTTCTTCAAAAAATTTCAATTTTAGTTTGTACTTGAAATCGGGCACGAACTTATGCACTCATCCAATATTATATTTACATTGATATAATGGCGACATAAGCTAAGATCAAGGTCTGGCTGCATTATGTGCATTTAAGTAGTGTACTTTACAGGGTTATCCCTGCGGTTTTAAAATTAAACGTAAATAAAATGATTTAAAAATAATTGTTTCGTGAAACTCGTTTTTTATTATACAGTTTAAACCGTGTATGTGAAACATCAATGAAATGATTGCCTTACGACCACACTTCGATCCGTTTGAGGTAATTTTCGACCACTTTTTGACACTTATGGGGAGGTACCTCAGCCAGAAATGCCAAAATACTGCCCTATACTATTGAATCCACGAAATGGGTAACTTTATGATATTAAGAATTACACATGTATAAAGAAATTTTCGTATAGTGTGTAAATATTGTTGAGTAGTGTAGTTGCAGATGTCTACACTAATCACCAGATAGTAGATGTTCTTCTTATGTGATATGTGTTTGTATTGGATATATGTAGAAGAAAGTTCATATCTTTAGTGACTCACCAGAAGCTCCAAGAGCTTGTTGGGGAGGTGCTTATATATCTACCTTATAGTCCTAACCTCGCACCAAGTGCTTACTATCTGTTCCTAAGTATGGTGAATGATTTGACAGGTGAGAAATTGGCCTCAAGAGAGGAACGATGTTAAACAGCAACGAACAAAAACAATGGCATAATGATATTACTTGACAAGGGGCTCTCGAGCAAAACGGAGCACATTCCACTTAAATCGGATAGTTCTAAATATTCTTTTATAACTTGTGAATTTACATGAACATATGTATATTAGTATAGTTTCTAAGCATGGGTTAGATTATTTATGTAGGTACATAATTATGTACCTAATGCGTGCGTCGGATTTAACTACAATATATATTATAACACAGTGTTATGTAGTTTTAGAATAAGATTCTTATATAAATAAATATATGGGTATAGAACCTCCGCGTCAATCACTTCCTTTCGGTAAGTATTCATAACCGTTTTCTGGCCATGATCTCCGATTCTTAACGCGTGGTATAAATATTATATTTCATTACGTATTCGTTATTTTCCTAATACACATGGTAGCATGGCAGAGCAAGAATCAGTTATTTGAGCCGCAACAAACTACTACATATATACGCAGCACTTAAATACATGATTTCAAAAATATTCATATACAAAAAAAGCATGGTAAAGCCTAGGTAGAGAATTAAAGATATTTTTTTATATTATATATATTTTAGAATACATTCGTTTAAACTATGTTGAGTAAATAAAAGTTTGCATTATCCCGTGGGTTGGATCTGAAAACAAACTTCGAGCGACATTTACGTTGAAAGTATCGGAGCAATTAAATTCATATGATACGGAAGGTACTATGCGCTAATGCAAACTAAAATGTAACGGAAAAGCGTATTAATTTATTATTTATATTTATTATAGATGTAAATAGAGGCTATGGTGCTCACAGAAAGCAACATTAAATGTTCAATAAACCAAATCTAAAATATTTGAGTTTATTTAGATTCTAATCCAGAAAGAACAGCATTGAGTTCTGTTTATTACAGCGTAATAATACATGGTATAAACATAATATATATATAAACATAATAAATATTTGGTTTTGCGAATTATTTCGTTATCGACTTTTTCTTACATTTCAATAGTAAATAGTACATAGGTATATAAAAATTCAACTTTATCTGCTACTTACCTTCCACGTAGCTGCGTTACGCCGAAAGTAGCAGAATGTGTTTTGAAACCAGTTATAAATTTCGTTTAAAGTTAATTGTTTATCAGGCGATTCTATAATAGACTTAACAAAATATATTAAATAAGTCAAATAGATTTTTTTAAATACATATTAAATTGTATTAAAGAAGTTATTGTAGAAATATTATATGTATGTACCAGTATATTTCACATTAGCAAAAGCAAAGAAGGGCAAAGCGAAAGAGGAAAAATGTTGCGATTTTATACACCGCACATTTAAAGGTCTATTTTGTCGATGTATTTTAATAAAATTTACTATGGTATTAAAACTTACCATGCAATAAATTTTGTTACTATTTCGAATTGTGAGTTCATTCTGTAAATTTTTCATCTGCGAAATAGCAGGTACTAAAATCTACTGTTTGATTTTATGTTGTTAGTTTGAGAAAAAATAAAAACCAAAATGGGCAGGCAAAAATGTGAAAAAAGGCTCATACTAAGAACTTTGCGAGAAACAAATTACCCTTTTAATTTAGAAGTTAGCGTTTTCATTCAGTTTTTCTTCTACCTCAGTCATATTTTCCAAAATTAGGTTCAAAATATTTATGATTTATTTAATAAACACATAAACAAAATTTATTTATTTTGAAGTGCACCGTCTTCCATTTCGATGTTAATATTATTCTTTTTTTCTATAGCAACTGGCAAATGTAATTTGCATATGAAGTAAAAAATGTGGAAGAAGTCTGCAAGAAACAAATGACCCTTTTAATTTGGAAGATAGCGTTTTCACTCAGCTCTTTCTTGTGGTTTAGGCATATTTTCCAAAATTATGTTCAAATATTTATGATTTAGTAAACACATAAGTAAATTTTATTTATTTTAAAGTGCACCGTCCTCCTTTTCGATGTGAATATTATTCGTTTTTACTATAGCAACTATCAAATGTAATTTGACATGGATGAAAAAAAGTGCTGCCCATGTTTTTTCAAACATTGTAACCAGTTTGCTAGAATGCCAAATTAAATTTCGGGTGTTAAAAAGAAGTAACAAAACTTACTTTACAGGTAACTGTAAAGGTAATAAGATGATGTATATAGTTTGGTACGATATTAAGGGGACTAAACTCGAACTCATTCACAACATATTTGGACGCTATGATCATCCTCTTTGATCACACCTTTTTATTGGTTATAACAAAATAAATTTGCATTCACAATTTCAGCACCTGCCAGAATCTTATCTATAGATGTTACTTCAAGCCATTTAGATACAACATTGACCATTTTCGGCATATACCCGACTAGGCTCCCACGTACCTGTTGCAATTATAATAATGAAGTCGTAGACAATATCGTCATTTTAAGAACCAGCATGAACAACAGAAATGTCAGCCTTGAAACCAATCGCAATATGTTCTACTTTGAACTGAGTAAGCAGTTTAAGAGTTAATCTCTCTCTCGACGAATAAAGACTAATATCTACAACATACGCCTTACTATATGGATTGGACGATGGCATCTCATGTGTATTCTTTTACGCATAGATAACGAACCTAACATATGCATACACCAATTTAAAGAAAAAAATATATGGTTTGTTTCAGCTCAAAAAATTAAGTAAAGGAGAGATCATTTTCAATATGCTTTTTTTATTTAGTCAATTATACTCAGTTTAATGTTCGGTAGGATATGCAATTTTATTCAAAACAATTACTTTTCCTTTATTTCACACACTCGGGCTTAATCGATTAACGCCCTGAACTCAGTATATATTTATAAGAAAGGTTAACTAGTTAACGTTTTACGGCAAAAACGTTGATCCGATTGAAAACTGGCGCACGTGACACTATAAAGTAGACAAAGGTGTCCCCTCGCATTTCAATTTAAATACGATTCCAGCATATAAAGCTAGATTTTACGAGTGAGATAATTAAATTTATCATCCTACTTGGTAATTAGCAAGTAACCGAATATATTATGACTTACTTGGCGAATCAGCGACGCATAAGTAAAAGGTGGACGAACATCAGCATTTTTATAAAATTCACGATTGCGGTGGATTTCTGTAAAAGTATAATAAACATTGAAGAATTAATTTGACTTTTTATAAGTTAAGCTCAGATAATGACTTAAGCGACAAGTTTCGTATCACAAACCTTGTTGTACATCCAAGCCAGCTCTTTCCAGCATATATGGCAGCCCTATAATAAATACAAAAATCAGTAAATAATAGTTCTGAAGTAACGTGTACTAGCTCCTTGAAATCTTTGGGGACGCATTGAGCATTATTATTTGGAAGGCCAGGACTGGAACTAATTATTCTAATTGTGGTGGCCCTTCGGCACAGAATGTCATTTCCTTTAAGTATATTTCTGACTTCAAATAAAAGTTGTCAAAAAGATTCACGGTCGCTCGAAGGCGGCTCAAAATAAACTGAAGGTGCCTGCATTTGTAGAAAAAAAAGAAGGAGCTCTGTGGAAACCGCCTCCACGTGTTCAAAGCAGCATTTATAAAGAATTGAAGTATTATTTTCTAAGCTTTTCATCCATATAAACAAAAGGAAAAACATTTGTTTTTCTTTTCTTCCTCTGGTACATTTCTATACATTCTTTTTGTGGTCACCAAATTTTAAACTAACAACTTGCGGTGAAGTAGATATATACTCGTGATAAAGCTACATATTAGATTTCACATTCACAATTTTCCAAGTTTTTAAGATCGATGTGTTTGCGCAATTTGTGTTTTCTTTATAATTCATTGCATAGATATAATGGTGTATGCGACGTCGCTCGCTCTGTTGTTTGGTCGTCCTTTTTTACAATTACATTTTTTTTATATATGATACAACATTGCGTTTTTGTTCCTTTTTTATTTTGTCTTTGATTATAGAAAACACTGTAAGTGCGTGATGCGTTCGATGCGCAAAATTTATTGTTTTGTTGCTTAAATAGGTCGAGCTTCAAATCGTCAAAATACTTTGTAATGGTGTGGTTGCTTTGCAACTGACTATTTGGAACTCACCCATTTATGTCTAGCGATTTGCTATCCGTTAAATGTTTGGTGCAGTTCGCTGAAACTAACGATCATGCAATTATCGAATTCATTTATAACGATGATCGACAAAGGACGATATTTTTTCATTAAAATAGAGGAGAGGTGTCATCACAGTTTAACAATTCGTCAAAATATGCGAAATGTATAAAAGGAATGCAATAAACAAAAAAGTCGTGATACCAATCATTTTTGATAAATGTTTATAAAATCAAAATCATATTATAATTTTCACTTTCAAAACTACGATGCCTGACTCTTCGCACTGCAGAGCAGTTCCCAAAAGAAAAAGGTGCCGCGCTCTTGAGTACGTAGCTTTTACTACCAAAATCTTTAGATATCTATTTACATGAACTGTGTCACTGGAATACAAATTCATTTGGGAAAAAAGAAAGCTGACTTTCGTAAGGAAGTTACGCGATACAACGGCTTACGGACTCAAAGATATTTCCCATTGCCCTCTAACTTTGATAGATTCGAGATGCGAAGAATAGCAAGGCGGTTAGAACATATATGCCCTTAGTAGAGTTAAAACTAAACAAATACTTAAACCGCAAATTACAACCTGTTCATTTGTAGATACTTCTGTCAATGATAAAGGATACAATGCCTCCTCATCTTACGATAAAATTAAAAAAGTTACTTCCCACTCCCATAATATCTCACCCACCGATATTCTTTAAATTATAGCAGAACAATTCAATTCTATTCAAACTCTTGTTCTTTATAATACTTTTCTTTAAAAACTTGAAGTTTTTTGAAGCAAATTTATGCTACTCATTTGCATGCATATAGTATTTGGCACAAGGGTTGAGCCCCCGAATATGAGATGTGGTCTATTGTATAAACCTGGACACCAGAATGTCGTCGAAGATGTGTGACAAAGAGAAATCGTCACACAAACACGTAACGTACTCACAGGAACTACAAAAGTAACACACATGAAATATGGTTGTCCCATTACAGGCCCAATACTAAAGAAATATGCCGTAAACTAGTCGTAGGCTGTGAAATATGTATACAGCACAGATGCGAATGACAACCAAATAAACAGCCTATTGGAAAAACTCCAATACCAACAACAATATGCTGTATCTTATCTCAATAGATAGATACTCCAAATATTGTTATATACGAAAGCTAAATACAAAGATTGATTGCCATGAATCAATAGAAGAAGTACTCACAAAAAGGAATACTAAGTGTACCCAAATACTACGTATCTCATGATCGATAACGAAAGTATATTTAACAGCAACAACATTCCGTTACGCCGGTACATCAAGAGATAAAGTTGAACGAGTACATAGTACTCTTATTGAACTTTGCCAAAGTTTAGCTGCAGAAAATAATACAGCTCCTGCCGACGAATTATTCAACGCAGCTCAATATCTCATCCAATTCAATAGGGCATGATGATTTACCAATTAAATTTATTAAAATTATATTATACGCGGCTCGCCAATATCTCATCCAATGCAATGGGGCATGATGGTTTACTAATTACCTTGCATTCTTGGGATACTAACACATTATTAATCATTGTACTACCAAGTCTTGTTTCCCAGAAGCACAACTTAATATCTCCGTTTTAATCAGGCTTCAGGAAAAAACAGCTGTATTACTTAAGTTCTAAAGAACACTGATGACATTCGATCTAACATGGATCAAACTAATTTCACCCTGCTTTGCTTAATTGACTTTACAAAAGCATTTCAACCATGAGTGCTTTAAAGCTTGTGAAAAGCTACCTTGCTGGGAGGTTTAAGTTAGTAAAAATTGGAGATGACACATCGCAACTAAAGCCAGTTACTTCAGGGGTGCCTCAAGGCTCCATCCTCAGTGTGTGCAAATTTTCAAACCGGCATGCTGATGACATTCGGTTATATTTATCTGCACCTTTGATCAAGCTAAAGTGTTATGTAGAAGAATTAATACTGACTTTGCTGATATCTCTAACTGTGCGGCTGCCAGCGGTCTAATTTTAAATAAAAACAAGTGCTGTGTGCTGCCAATCAATGCTAAAAAACTGACAAATCCGGATTTTTTGTCCCTAATATTCATAGACAATGTTCCCTTAACATTAGTCAGCAAGATTAAAAACTTAGGATACATTATTAACTCTAATCTTACAAGCACGGATCATGTGAATTCCATTGTCTGAGGAATCTTAGGCAGTCAGCTATCTGTACACCCACTGCTACCAGACGCCGACTTGCTATACAAATTATTCTTCCGGTTGTCATGTACTCTGAAGTCGTATACAGCAAACATGACAGTGTCTCTGTTCGTAAACTTGATATTATGTTTAATAATGTCACACGGTATGTGTTTGGTCTTTCCAAACATGATCACATCTCGTCTTGGACAGATCAGATATTGGGATGTACGATTGCAGACTATCATAAAGCCAGAAATTGTATTTTTCTCTGCAAACTTATTATGACTCAACCTCCTAGCTATCTTTTTTCCAAGTTATCGTTTACTCGGTCCGCCAGAGTAGGCAATATTATAATACCTTTTCATAAATCACAGCAATCATCCAGGCTGTTCTTTGTCAATGCTAGTCGATTATGGATCTCTCTTCGTGCTAATTTAAGGAGGAAATTAAACAGAAGCAATTTCAGGAACCACATATATATGCATATTAAAGGCCAAATTCCAACATAGACTGACTATTTAATAATTATTTAAATTTTTGTCATACTCAGTTCATTATATATTATTATTATTTTTGTTAATGTATCTGTAAAGTAATATTTATTTATTTTTTACACTATCTCTGTTGTACTATAAAAATATTGTACTAATGCTTTGTTATTATTAACAAGATATAAGCCCGAGGACGTTTTCTACAATCGAGAAAAATGTCCTTATATCAAGGAAATACTCGTGGATAAACAGGAAAAACTACTCAGACACTATAATTAAAAAGGAAAACTATAGTATACAAACCAGGCGACATAAATTATAGTCGAACAGACCGAGGAAAAAAAACTCGCAACAAAATACAATAAGCATAAGGTAAAAGAAGATCGTGAGCACACAATCCTAACAGTGAGTGGAAAAACAATACACAAAGGCAGTATAAGAAAAATTTACAGTTACCTACGGACTTTGTGATAAAATAACAGACTTAACTGCTAAGAAATATGCACTTACTAAAGTAGATACGTGTATACCTATGAGAGTTCATCATTTCTTTAACATGTATCCAACTTATCTATAATATTACAAGCATACGAAAGAATCATACGAACTAAGTATAAAGATACGCAAACTGGAGAAATATATAATAATCGATAAAATAGAAAGTCTAAAGCCGCAATTAATACCATCTGAGTGTCATACCAAACGTGCCCTCAATTTTTTAGGTTCTATGTTAAAATTTGTAATAGGAATACCAGATCATTATGATCTTGTCGAAATTAAAACAGGACAACCAGCTTATTGAAAATAATTATCAGCAAAGAAAAATAAGTTCCCAATTTGAAAAAATTTCAGCAACATTAAATCCAGAACCTATTCTTGATCAGTAAGTACTTACAAATAACATTAACTTTGCAAAACCAGGAAATTTCTTTTCTGGCACACTTAACTTCGGAGACATAAAGCAAGTAATAAAAAACGAAATATTATTATTATTGCTCATTAGGGATAATAAATAAATATTAAATCTAATTCCATAAAGGAGCACGAGCAACGATGGCTATCGGCTCCCAATGCTAAAACATTAAGCAAGTTACATTCTAATAGAAAATTATATATCTTTGAAATATTGTCATGAGATGGTGTGGTTAATGATTTACGATACTGATCAGTGATAAAATGATTATGCCTAATCCACTCTAAAGCCAAACAATTTTTGAAAATGTGATCGATGGACGAGTTGTTCCTAGAGAAAGGTTTGGTGGTTGCCAGCCGATGAGAATGTATAGATGTGGTAATTGTGTATGAACTATCCTTAGGTGTGTGAAGATGGTTGATTGTAGGTGACTGATGCGGGTGGGGTAAATGACTTTAATCCGAGCAGGATTGAAATTTGTGTATCGGTGTTCAAATCGTCTCCACTCCATAAAATTGTTATTGCGCCTATGTTCTTGAAACATTTACTTAACATCATTTTGGTCCTGGGGCTCATATTGGCGCT